ATGTATAAAATAAAATTGCACATTTTAAAAAAAATATAATCCTCTTTACTTTCGTATCATTTTTTATCGAACCTGATATTTACTCGTGCATTAGAAAAAGGAAGATAGAAGCTAATATTCGAACTTGCGAAAAAAAACAAAAATTAACACAACTTTGAAAATCCAATGAATAATCTCATTTTGTTTTTAAATAAACAAATAAAACAAAGTTATCCTCTTCCCTTTCTCACGCTTAACACACACGTACGATCATATTATACATTGAATTAAGAAATAAAATAAAAAAGAACCTAAGAAAACCATGTAAGTTAACTTTGAAAATCAATTTTGAATAATCTCATAGTTGGAATAATAATAAAAAAAAATAAATAAAAAAAAAAAAAAAAGAAACGATAAAGGGAAATATAAATACATAAAATGAAGTTGTATGAAAGATGTAGGAAAGTCCCACTATCATTCCGCAAATATGAATAGGACGAGTTAGGTCCCCGATCTTAGGACTTCAAACGTTTTAACACACAAACAGATCGATTATGTTGAACGACACATATATTACAAGATGTTACAATGTCGGCTTGTTTGTAAAAACGAACCTACGAGTATAAAAAAACGGACACGTCATCTTTCTTTATGTTATCCGACGAAAAAAAGATTCACGTTTTCTCAAACGATTTATCTGATAAAAAAATAATTGGAGTTAAAAATGTAAAGCTATAAGTTTGTTAATAAACAAAAATTATTTCACATCTAGGGACCCTAGATTGCATACGTGATGCATATGACGTTCTATGTCAACATATGAAATATAAATACAAAAAAAAAACAAAAATTCAACACCACAGATAAGGCCCCTCCCCACACCCCCGCCAAATTTTTACACGGTGTGTCCCATAAAATCATAACACGCTAGTGACAGTTAATGTAAAACTAATTTATTGATCATTGTTGGTAATAGAAAAATAAGAAGATATTAATTAACAAAGAAAAAATAAAAATGTAACAAAAATAATATAAAATATAAATATATATAAATATATTTATAAAAAACAACGACGGTGTGTCCCATAAAATCATAACACGCTAGTGANAAAAAAAAAAAAAAAAGAAACGATAAAGGGAAATATAAATACATAAAATGAAGTTGTATGAAAGATGTAGGAAAGTCCCACTATCATTCCGCAAACCAAATTTTACGACGGTGTGTCCCATAAAATCATAACACGCTAGTGACAGTTAATGTAAAACTAATTTATTGATCATTGTTGGTAATAGAAAAATAAGGAGATATTAATTAACAAAGAAAAAATAGAAATGTAACAAAAATAATATAAAATATAAATATATATAAATATATTTATAAAAAACAACGACGGTGTGTCCCATAAAATCATAACACGCTAGTGACGGTTAATGTAAAACTAATTTATTGATCATTGTTGGTAATAGAAAAATAAAAAGATATTATTTAACAAAGAAAAAATAGAAATGTAACAAAAATAATATAAAATATAAATAAATATAAATATATTTATAAAAAACAACGACGGTGTGTCCCATAAAATCATAACACGCTAGTGACAGTTAATGTAAAACTAATTTATTGATCATTGTTGGTAATAGAAAAATAAGAATATATTATTTAACAAAGAAAAAATAGAAATGTAACAAAAATAATATAAAATATAAATATATATATAAAAAAAAACAAAAAAAAAAATAAAAAAAAATATTATAAATAATTACTAAAAAGAATAATATTATTTATCATTAGTATAAAAATATTCCAAGTTATTTCTCGACGTTGATTTAAATGAAAAAAAAATGTTGTCTCTTTTTTTTTTTACTGTATCTTTTCGATTAAACATTGAAAAGAAAATCTTCTTTAAGGGGTTACATGGGTTTACACCCGGGAAAAAATAGCATATTTTCAACAATTTTTTTTTCTATATAAAAAATGAAATTCTTATTCAAACTTTTTATAGCATTTAAGGTACATATTTAAAGAACATTTTCTAAAATTTTGATTGAAAAATATTTTAAACTCAGCCATTGCGACGTCATTTCCGGTGACCCCACCGAAAAAAAGGGTTTTCGCGATGACAGCAGAACTTATAAACGGTTAGGGTTTTTCTGTTGAAAAAATAG